CTGTGAAGAAATAAATTTCTCTTTGTTAAAGCCATCCACTTGTGGTATTTCTGCTGTAGCAGCACTGGATGACTAAGACGACAAGCAAGTTTCCTAACTTCTCTCAACCTCCATTTCCTCAACTATAAAATAGAGATGTATGCTTAACTCAGATGGCTGAGGTTGGATGAGGAAATACAAAGCTTTTAGCATAGGGCTTTACAGTAACAGTCACTACTGTCAAGAATGAAAGAACAAGGAAGAAAGTGCATGTTGGTCAGTTTTGTGTCAGATTTAAAATTGTATTGCTCAACACAAATTATTTCCACTAAATTATCCTTGGTTGAAGCCTAGTTATTACCAGCTGTTAGTAAGGGAACTCAGATTTCTCAAAAAAGAGATAAATTGGATCTCTTAAATTTAGTTACCTTGGAACATGAGTTTAAAATGAAAATTGTCTAATTGTAAAGTGGTCACTCAAAAACAAAAGTTACCCGTTATAGCACCAACTGGCATGTAATTCTGATAAGATACATCATCACTCTGGGCTTTTGGACTATAAATGAGGGAGTTGTAGGAGTGTTCATGTCCCTTCCATCTCGAATATTCTGTGATTCCAAAGTGGGGCTGTTACATAGCCCTAATTTGCTTGTAAAGCCTTTCCTTCCTAGGACATAGACGTAAAGTAGAACATTCTTTCTACATGTATGTAAGATTAGACTTTAAACACAGTGTATACTATCAGGATCCTGCAGATAGTAAAGGAGTCCCTGAGTGGGGTAAGCAGTGGAGTACTCAGCAACTAATTGAAAGGTTGGGAGTTGAAATCCACCCAGAGATGCTTTGGAAGAAAGGCCTGGCAATCTACTTCTTGAAAGATCGGCCACTGAAAACGCTATGGACACAGTTCTACTCTGACACACATGGGATCACCATGAGTCGGAATCGACTCAACGGCAACTGGTTTCGGTTTGTAGATAGTAAACTGTTTGAGCTCTGTGTTGCCATGGAATGTAATACCTTCCCGTGTGTACCCAAAACTGCTTGGGAAGGCAGCTCCAAAGGTGAATATCCAAAGTGTAAAACTGAGACCCTCCCATCTGGGCTTCATATATTGCAATTTTATTTAGCCTGTTTTAGATTAGTCCCTCAGGTTTGGAGAATATATTTGAGGGAAAATTTTATCATTTTTTACAGCAGTTTTAAATTTATCCCAATATGGGGAAAACACTGATCAGAGGTGATTTAAATGTGGCCCTGTACGAAATGAGGTCGGGGATTAAACAACGTCTCTACTGTCCCCACTGGCTCAAGAGGCCACAATCTAAGTGAGCATGGACTGTGTGCTAGGATCTGCTGTGGGATTTATAATGAGGTTTATGAGGAAGCTGAGGTAGGCACCTTTCAGCCAAACCATAGACAGGTCCATAAAATAAACCAGTAACACCCGAGAGGAATGCGCTCCTTAGAACAATCAATTAAACGAGATCAAAAGGGCAACATTTGCCCAAAAGCAAAGATGAGTAGGCATGAAGGGATAGAAAATTAGGACAAAAGGAGACAGGGAAACCAGGGCGGAAATGGGGACAGTGCTGACAAGATTCTGGGGAATGAAACCAATGTCGTGGAACACTTTATGTACAAACTATCAAGTGGGAAACCTTGTTGCTCTGTAAACTTTTACCTAATGCACAATAAAAAATAAGCTGAGGCAGGAAGAAACCAAACCCATTGCTGCCAAGTTGATTCCGCCTCATGACGACCCAATAGGACAGAGGAGAACTGCCCCATAGGGTTTTCAAGGAGTGAGTGGCTGGTGGATTTGAATTGCTGACCTCTTGGTTAGCAACTGAATGCCTAACCACTGTGCCACTAGGGCTCCGGGAGGTAGAAAAAGAGTAGGCAAAAGCATAGAGTTTGGATAAATGGAAAGTGAAATGTGGATGGAATAAAAGCAGCAGAGAAGGAGGCAGTTTTTGTTATGGTCTGAGTTAAGCAGCAGAGGTGGTCTCACAGGCCTGTCTAATCTCCCAAAGGACCTCGGATTGGTTCAGAAGATGTTCCAGGAGGAAGTCAGGGAGGGTGTGCCTCATAATCGGCACCTACTAAGTGTGAGAATGAGACATGGTGCCAGGTCCTCCTTCCCCCTGAGTACTGGCGATTATCTTCCTTATTTTACAGATGAGAAAGATGATACCTGAAGAGCATATGTGACCTGCCCAAGGTTAGTGGTTCATACAGGGCTCTCTGACTCCAAAGCTGATACCCCAGTTGCCATCCAGTCAACTCTGACTCGTGGTAACCCCGTGTATGTCTGAGTAGAACTATGCTCCATAGGGTTTTCAGTGGCTGATCTTTTGGAAGTAGATTGCCAGGCCTTTCTTCCAAGGTGCCTCTGGGTGGACTTGAACTTCCAACCTTTAGGTTAGCAGCTGAGCATGTTAACTGTTTGCATCACCCAGGGACTCCTCTAAAGCTGATGCTTCTCACTAAAGCTCACTAATGCAGGGAGATGGCCACAAGAGCTGCCCCCTGAAGCCAGCCCCTTTAAGCACAATTAGAGCTGCATTTACTCAGATCATACTGGCTACTTTCTTTCTAGCCAGGATGATAATTTGTCTACAAGTTACATCAAGGTGATTTTAAATTATTTGAAAAGTCCACGTTATCTAGTGAGGATTTTCAGTTAATGGATTAGAGACAAGATGTTGGCAGTATCACTCAAATCCCCAAGTATTAAAATATCTGATTTAAAGCTTTCAATCATCCAAAGGGCTTTTACACTCAACACTATTTCTTTGATTCTGAGATGCCATTGAGTAAAAGAAACTGCCGAGCCATAAAAGTTAAATACCAAATAATACTTGTAAATCTAATTTTTTTTTAGAAAAAAATCACATTACATGTTCATAATTCTAGTAGCATATTTGTACAACCGTATTTTATTTACAACTATATTGTACTTACTTCTTCACCATCACGATCAAAATTTTGAGTCTAAGTGTCTCCCAGTTGCTAAAGAAAGACTGCTCCAAATCATTTTTGGCCATGAGTCTGTGCATAACATCCCAGAAACGTGGTGTTTGCCTGACTCCTGCTTCTGATTCTATGAAAATGTTCACCTCTCGCTTACTCTGCTCTGGGCGCCATGGCAGTTGTTAGGGAAACAACAGTGAATAGATAACTGCATTCTAGGGCAAGACAAAGACAAGCAAACAAAATAATTACAAATTGTGATAACTGCTCTCAAGGAAACAAGCAGGGTACTGCTGTTGAGAATCATCTCTTAGGCACTTTTATAATTGAGATAATTTCGAGGCATGTCCAAGGATATTGGAGTTTTGACCTGTGTGGTTAAACTGGTAGTTCATGTCTTAGCTGAATAACATATCACTGGAAGTTTCACACCATCTCTAGAAAGTCATCTGGAAGCTTTTGACAGAGGTACCTGTTTTCCAACTGGACAATAGTCCTCTACCACGCATGAGTCAGTTGGACACTTGGCTCTGAGCACTCAGAGATGGCGTTTGCAATTGCACTTGTATTGTTAGCACGTGCTGGGCAGTCTTTTACACCACTAACTTTTCATTTCAGCCATGTATGAGCTCTTTGGAGATTTTTTTTAAGTGACAATTAAAAAACTAGTTACCATTGAGTTGATTCTGACTCAGTGACATCATTGTGTGTCAGAGTAGAACTGTGCTCTGTGGGGTTTTCAATGGGTACTTTAGATCACTAGGCATTTCTTCCATGGCGGCTCTGGGTAAAACTTGAACCTCCAACCTTTTGGTTAGCAGCTGAGTGCATTAACTGTTTGCACCACCCAGGGATGAGTGACGATTAGGGATCCAAATTTAAGTAAAATTCAACTGTGAACATAGGACTTGTGAATGGAGAGCAAGTGAAT